CAACATATAAATCGAAATACTACATAAAATTGCTATTGTAGTACAATAGGGCACTGCATAAAGCATTCGTGATATGTATCAATATGATAAAATTTAAAATTAAATTAAATTAAATTTTGATTTATTAATATTTCCAACCAACAAATAAAATAATTAAGCACACTTAATCAGTTAAATGTCAAATGCTCTTGACAACGCTTATCATTTCTCTTGTATACAAAGTAAAATAAATCAGGATAAACTTTTTTATCCTGAAAACTGCAAACTGATTCAAATATGAAGAAAGAAAATGCTAAATGGAAAACAAAATTGAAATGGAAAACATTATAAGCGCGTGTATTTAAGTTTTTCATATTATTGTATGTAATAACTTTATACCTTTTGCAGTTCGCAGGAACTTCCCTTTTTCTGACGAAACAAAAGATAAAAATAAAGTAAAATATGAATGTCATAATTTTCAGTTATGAAAAATTTTAAAGTTCATACGTTTACATTATAATTTTCCTTTTAAAGATATGCAAAAGTTGGAATTTAATATACAAATAAATTTCCCATTCAACAATGTAAAAATTCTGTTACTATAAATTCTGTTATCCTAATGTGAATATCAGAGGAATCTTTAACAGAATTGCTATGCTGCTACTAATACTCCCATTACACCTGCTACACAAATTGTTTTCTGCCTTTACATTTTTTGAATATATTTTCTTGAACTTACAAATATAATATCTATTTTAGAGTATACAATGTTTTTTATGTATTTTATATTTTAGTTAAATGAAAATTTATGCCATATTTTCTTCTGATAACACCTAAGCAACAAAAACAAAAGCCTGTTCAGTTCAAAGCTTCTCCATTAGCGCAACAATTGCAAAAATTTTCAAAATTTTCAGTTGGTTGAGTGCTTTTAAAAATTTTCAAAAAATTTTTTTTTATTTTCTAGAAATTTTCTATGAATTTTATTTTTCTAACATTGAAAAGTATACCAAACCATATCGAAATGGCAGCAAGAGTTAATATATAAATTCGGTAGACGACTGAAATAAAATCTAATGAAACTCTAATAAAATATAAATTTTATTTCTCAACAAAATGAAATTAATGAAATTAAATTTGCTACAAATGTTTGTCTGAAATCATTTGTCTGACAAAATAATGTCATTTATTTTCACTTAAAATAATTAGAAGATATGAGAAATAATTGCATTTATTTTTTAATTCAAGCAATTCATTGTACAGTGCAAAAATCTGTTAGTTACTTCATCTAGATACAAGGAGCAATTTGTTAAAAAATACCTAGAAATGTTTTCCATTAATTTAATGCAAGCAAATACACATTAAGTGTCGCTTTATCTAAATACATTGCGGAAATGAACTCTGCGTTTCTCGTGAAGCTCGTGAAAAGCGCGGTGATTAATCATTTTTGCGAATTCCAAACTTTATAGCATAAAAAAAAATTCCAACAAGACAAATGCTAATATTACAAAATAATTACACTGCACTACGTCAAATCAAACAAAACAAAATTTTAAGCATAAAACTAATTCAATCTAAAATCTTAATTAGTCTAAGCAATGTCATAGCGCATACACAACATTTTTCAAATATGATTAATGAAATCAGATAATAGCAAACAATGTTTCATGTCACAGATAGAAAGTGACGAATGATATTCAAATTATTACGAAACTTACTTATCAAGAAGTTATTTTAGTGGCGTGAATTTTGTAACGCCAAATTCGATTGAGCTAGCAAAGTTGTTTACACAATGAACAATTGTGCAAACAATCTAACAAGAGTAGCGGAAATAATCACACAACTCAGTCGCAATCTTACAGATATAAATACTTTGGTAGCGCTTGCAAGTGTTGCTAATATCTTAACAAGTACGAAAATTACACTCATTGTCACACTTCTAACGTCTTCAATTATCATTCTATACTATATTTGTTTTATATATAGTATAAGTACAGTTTGATATGAAAGTAAAATTTTTATTGTATTAACCTATATTGTATATTAGAATGAAGTGACTGAACACAAAAATATTAAACAAACTTAGTCAACATTTATTTTATTTATTTAACAAATATTTGTTAAGCAAATAATTGTCATTTTTATTGTTAGTGTGAGATACATCATCTGTGAAATTTTTAGTTACTATGATTCAGCTAGATAAATAATTTTTTTTATTTTCTAAAATAGTCACATTTTTTTTAAACTTGTTTCACTCTTCTAGATAATTTCAAATTATTTTTGTTTTGTTCCATTTTGAATAATTTAAAATTCAAAAAAAAAAAAAAATTAAATAAAATTAATTATATATGAAACTAAAAGTATAAATGACCGTCAATTCTATATGAATGTGCTAAACAAAGCCTCAAACACTACTATTCGCGAGCCAGAAATTGCGCAAAGCCAGGCTCTGAGAAGACTTTTCAAGGTACCATGGTACATTAGGATGAATGACATCGTCAGGGACCACAAGGTTGAACCGATCAAAAAATACACAAAGTATGGAGCCCTCAAATTATTTATGAAAACTGACAGGCTTACCACCACCGCGTTATCGAATCTCAGCATGATTACAAGCTCCTCGGGGAGGTATGCAGATCTGAGGTCAATTATTGCTTACTCTTATGAAGTGATAAAAAATAATCCAGTCAAGCCGTAGGTTATGCAGAAACCTCACAGTAAATAAAGAGTAAAAGTGTTTAAGTACACTGACTCAACTAACCTCAACATAATAAAAGTATAAAAATATCTTTTAAAAAATTTATTATTAATATTTTTTCTTATAATATAACACTTATTAATATTTTTAGTTACTTTTTAGTTATGTAAAAAGCAAATTTATATGAAATATTATTATTATTATTGTTAGGGGTTGTAGCACTGCGACCGTCGAGTCTATTGTGCCCCCTTCTGGGTTTAGATAAGGTAGAGGCCCTGTTGCGTCAATAAAAAGTAGTATAGAACCAACTTTACAGAATTTTAGTGCCTTTTTCGTAAGAATATATATTCCGTATGTGCATAAGGCAGGGCATTCTAACAGCATATGTGTGGCTGACTCGTTATTCTCTTCACAGAATCTACAGTGTACATCCATAAGTATACCCAGTCTTGTAAGGTGGTCTTTTAGTTTACAGTTAGAGTTCCTATGATGATTCATTTTCTATAAATTTCCAATACTTTTTGGTACCTATTAAAATGCTACACAATCTTTAGAAGATATATATATAAGTTAAAAGTAAATTTTTATTTTTTATTAACGCAGCACAATTTCATGTTGCTTGTTCGGTGGCTTAAGCAAGAGAGACCGAGCGCACTTCTGCGAAGTTGGGAGATACCGAAGCCAAACGGGACTTTTCCAGACAAACAAATGGAAATCCCGTTTGGTAGCAACCATGCGTTCGAACAACATCGCATGATTGCTCCGTTAATGAAACTAAGCACAGGGCCGGATTTTGGGTACGCGGGAGTTAACTTATACAATACTATTACATTGTAATAAGTGGTAAAATAAAAAATAATTAAAAATAAAAAACTTTTAATATAAATTACTATGTATGGTATGTATGTCTACGGTAGTTTGTCTAACGGACCATTACCGCTTGCGTTATTATCTTAACAAAATTAGTCTGTGTAAGGAAACAGAATGTTGACTCTGCTTGAATGCGAATAAACCCCCCTAATCACATTGTCTTTGAACATCCAACATTGATCTGGGCCGATCTATCAGATTATATTTTCATCTGATATTAGAATGCCCACAACAGCTGACATTCTGGCTTTCACTGGAACTATAGAATGACTTCTGTTTAGGTAAAGTCAGTTAGAAAGCATAAAGTAACAGCCAAATCCTAACCCTTTATGATGTTGGAATGTCTTCAATAGCTCACATTCTGGCCTTTATTTGAAGAATGAAACATCTACTATTTATGTATAATCGGTTAGAAATCACGAAATATCAGCCAATATTAAGCATAGGGTTTTATCTTTTTTCTATGCTACTGTATTCTAATTCGTATTTATATTCATTAATTTTTATAACAATTAAATTTATCCTAAATTAAGTACTTATTTTAAATATTTTTAAGAGAAATGTGTTTAAATTTGATTTGTAGTTTAAGTTCCATGTTTTTCAAAATGTTCCTTATTCCTTCCCATTCTTCTCTTAATTTAACTTTCTAATATAATTTACATTAAAACTAGAGAGTGTTTAAAATAAAGAAAATATAAAAGCAAACTGCCATATAAAATAATGCACATACAACAACTCATAAGTATGCTTATTCTTACCTACTCAGGAGACTTTTAATTATAGTCAACACACTGATATATACTTTTATATTTTTAAAAATTCTTATTTATCCAACAAATATGCAGAATGTATAGAAAATAACTTTTAACAAAAAAGTACGAGTATCTTAAAACTCGAGCAACTCATACAATATTCAGTGAAAGTCGCAAAAAGTTAGTACAATTCGCACAACGCCAAAACTTTCCTTAATAAAATCTGATATCAGACATGACTTAACACATCCAAAAAATAAGAAAAAAAGAAAAAGTAATTTTGCAAAAAATTTTAAGAATGAAATGTTATTTAATTGCAAGCTGCAGTAGAAAGTTTAGATTAAAAACAGAACAACAGAAATTGTCAATTTGCAGTGACAACTACAAATTGAAGTGTTCCAAACGAAGTTGATCCTAGCAAAGTTCTTAATAAGAACTAAGTTTTTAAATAGACTCGAAAATCGAAAATATTTGTTTAAAGTATTTTTAAAAATCACAAGTTTTTTAGAATAAAATTCAACAATTATTATCATTCTTATATTAACT